GAACAGAGCCCACGAGAGCCCACTCCATGCAAGTCTCTAAACCGACGCGAGCCAAGAAGGAACGAGCAGCATAATCCAAACCAAAACTCCCAAGCCTGCTAGAGAGATCGAAATTCGAGCGTAACGCATGAATGAGTAATAACCAAACAATTTCTGCAGCGCATAACTCGTTCAGACAGCATGTGCGCAAGTCAAAAGGCACTCACTGCATATTATTTGCCGGTATCATAAATCTTGACCCCGCGCTTCCAGACTTGTCTCACAGTCAAGGTGGGGCCCGAGAAGGGGTCCTCCTCATCATCCAGCACAAGCAAGTCCGCATCCGCGCCACTCTCCAGGGACCCCTTGACGCCCTGTAAACCCAGAAGGCGTGCGGGGGTGGCGGAAGCCGCGTTGAGCGCCTCGGCCGTGGAGGCGCCTGACCAGCGACGGAAATTGTTGACGCACTCAATGAGGGTGGCTGAGCTGCCGGCGATTTTGTCCGAGCCTTCGAGGGTCAGCCGGGCGCCATTCTTGATGATGCGCTCGCCATTGGTCCAGTCGTAGATACCGTCGGGGAGACCGCATAGCTTCATGGCGTCAGTGACGAGGATGAGGCCTTCGGGGTGGGCGTTGTAGGCAATGCGGATTGAGGTGGGATGCAGGTGAATGCCGTCGGCGATGACGCCGTAGAATGGTCGCGGGCATTCATTCTGCCCGAGGAGGCCGAAGATACCGGGGTTCCGGTGATAGAAGGGGCGCATTGCGTTGAAAAGATGCGTGATCATGGTGGCGCCTTGCTGGGTGGCGGTGAGGGCTTGCTCGTACGTTGCGTCCGAGTGGCCAATGGAGTAGATGATGTCCTCTGATGTGAGGGAGGGAATGTTCGGCAGCATGTCTCCAACCTCAGGAGCTGCTGTGATCATGCGCACTGATTTGAATGGGCCGGTGAGGTTGTCTTTGCCATAACAAGCGATGACATCTTCGAAGCATGTTGCTGCACGAAGAACTTCTGTCTTATGCACGCCATTACGACCAGGGCTGATGAATGGACCTTCGACATGAGCGCCTAGCGACTCCGCGCCATCTTCGGCGCGATGGCTCTCTCCAGATGCCCCTAGCGATGGAAGTACCTGCGTTCAAGAATGAGCCTCTTTTGCCGCTTAATTTCGGTTTACTGGTATTCCGGAGGTGTGGGGGTAATTGAGACATACCTGCCAGTAGACTTCGGGGGTAGAACTGACTACCGTCGGGAGATATGAAGTCACTCCCGTCCTGGCAAGACCTTTGTTAACGGCCCGCAGACCTTCATCGTATAGTTCTTTTGAGGCCTGGGGAACGGAGAAGTCGAAGCCCTGAGCACCATTCAACTGTACATCGATAAGGCCGGGAGCCAAGATGCGGCCACCTAGGTCGATGACCTTATCGGGGGAGAGATGTAATCCATAGAAGGCTTCCTGATCCTTGAGAATCTTCCCAGAGATTGAATCAATCCATACGTCTTGCTCGACGAGGTCAAGTCCCTTCACGATACGGCAGTTGGTGAACTTGGTGATGCGGGGCAGGGAGGTGGATGTTTTGCCAGGCATGTTGGGTATTACTTCGAGCCGCGCCGCGCTCACAACCAGACTTGGGGGAGTCAGTCGATGATGTGAGGGGGGAGGGGAGAATAGACTGACGGATGGGACGGAGGGATGGGCTGTCCGAACTACTAAGAGGAGATAGGGGATGAGACGGGACGAGAGGAAGAGGAAATTGTTGCGGGGTAGGAGGGAAATTGGTAGGACATTATGAATGAATGAGAAGACGTGGAGGGAATACTACAAAGGACATGGTGACATTGAACCAGGAACTTGGATGGGGCAAAGGCAGGGGCAGGCAACGTGGACAACAAGCTCGATCGCCATGATGATTGTGCGGTTGGCCTCGGGAAAAACGGCTTGGGGTAATTGACGTTGCCATTCCCATGGTTTGGGGAGCGTGATGGGGCCGGAATGTGACGTCGATGTGTAGAGAGATGAATATGGATCGGACAGGAAGTAGTAGTAAAGGCGTAAGATTAGAGGCGGACGACGAGGTGACATTTTTCCCCGGGATCCGTCCATGGTTGGCAGTAAGGAGTTACTCCGGAGTGGGCTCTTGAGGGAGATAGCCGATGGAGCAAGTGACTATAGACTTGATGAACTAGTCTATTTAGACGAGGAAGCAGTCCCAACGAAGCGAATTGATTCGGGGAGAACTACTTACACAATTTGATAGGCAAAATTACTGGAGTATGTATGTGGTGAGGTCATGTTGCATAGTATTGAGCTCCCTATCTCGTCTGTCTCGTCATAATCAATACCGACACGAACAACCCCCCGTATCTTACAGAGTGGATAGTGAAACCATACAAACCGTACAAACAATACGGCAATACGGCAGAGATACTAAACAACGTCTGAATTGATACATATCCACGTGACTCAGGGTACTTGCCTTTTTCGGATACTTTGAATAGCAGACCCCAAACAGGAAGGAAAAGTGTTGCTGTTTGTCTGCATGCATTCATTCATTCCTTCCCATTTCCATTTCCATTCTCGGACCTTTCAAGCTTCTCTTTCTTCCAGTAAACACTCCTATTTACTCTCTCTCTCTCTCTCTCTCCCCATTCCCTAGAATTCTTTCACTTCCACCTCTCTCTTTCTTGTCTATCTCCCTGGGTATACTTTCATTATTACCCATTTCACATCCCGCTCCTTGTGGTTGATTTGTTTTTTCTTTCTTCCTCCTTCTTTTCACTGTGCTTCTTCTTATCCAATGGGTCACTGGGTTCGGTTACTGGGTCCGGTCCGACTCCACTGGGCGGGGAAGACCCAAGAAAACCCTCATCGGTAGCGAAAGCCACCAGCGCAGGTTTAGCGGAGCGGGAGAGAAAAAGAGGGTCAAAAAGAGGAGGGATTTGGGTTCTTGGATGCTACCTCACGACGACCGTACCAGCAAATGAGCCGAATCGTCTCCCCGCATTCGGCTAAGCTTCGAAGGAGCGATGTCACCGTTGCCTTTGCAGCTCCGCCCGGGTGAATCAGGATGGCTCCATGGCCAGATTAACCACCTTGAGGCTGACTCCGCTGACTCTGGGTTTGTTTGGTTGCAGCGACTCGTCTGCTCCATCGGCCTTGCCCGCGCGCTCTCCGTCTCTCTCTTTCGTTCTTCACCACCAACCCTATTAACTATGGATCCGATGACGGATGAGTTAAACCGGATTATCGATCCTATCCAACTGACATCCAGTCGATGGATTATCAGTGAGAAAGGTCCGTCCGTCCTTTCAATTCTTCTTTCTTTCTTTTCTTCCCCCCTGCACAACAGTTCCTCTTCTCCCTAGCTTGTTCTGTGCTATCACTGCGATTGCTTTGCTCCATTCACATCTTACTATACTACTACTATATCTCCAACCCAACCCCTGGAGATAAGCCTCCCCTCCCGTGATAACACGCGACTGGTCTTGGGGTCTCGACCATTTGGCCTCGTGGTTGTCATTTGGCAAACTTGCATCGGAGGTGCATTGCTAGTCTGATTAATTTCCTTGTCGGATCTTCGATCGGCTACTACTTGACATTCAAAACATCCAGTGTCTCTTTTCATTGTTATTCCCTTGGCCATTGATTGGGTCAATATTTTTCTGTTACCTCCGCCCTTAATTTTTTGAGTTGCATCTCCGCATTTTCTATTTCTCTTACTCATCTTTTCCCCCCTTAGTTTTCTATCTCGTTTTGACTTTTGGGTCGCTTGGGGTCGAGTGGATCGTGTCGATTGTTCTCTTCCCCATCCTGCGACTGATCGGGTTCCCGCTAGAGTCAGTCGGAGACCGATGATTCGTTGTGGTGCTTGACTATCTCGCCGTCTGACCACGCCGTCACTCACTAAACGAGTAAGCTAGTTCTTCTAGTGCGTCTTCTGTGCCCACCGGCTCGAGGACCCAGAGATAAGGTACGACGGCTTTTCTTGTCTTGTCATCCCATTGACTTTTCCCATTCTCTATTGGGTTTTGTGCGTTGCAACACTGGCGTTGAATCGGCTGCTTGTCTATCTGGATGTTCTTCGTATCGTGGAGCTACCTAACACCCTTATTTCTGCCTATCTCTTGTGTTGTGTGTCTTCCTCCTCCCCGATGATGGCTGTTATCACCGTTGTCTCATCCTCCCTACTCCCACCGTGGTATCCTTGCCCAAGTTGATCCCTCACCATCGGCGCACTCTCCTCGTGGCTTAGACTGGTGAGATTCCCCATCAGCTGGATGTTACGATTCATATCCGAGCCCCCGGAGATAAAAATAAGCCAGAGCCCCCATCGACCTTAATTTTTCTTTCCACCCAATTTATCATTACCACAGCTGCAGCTTGGGCCAAGGGTTTCACGCTTTTTTTTTTCTGCCTGCGCCCGTGACCAGTCACTGTTTTCCCTTTACTGGGTTCTGTGCCCACCCCTTCATTCTTACCCCGGATCATCTAAGACATCCTTGCCTGATCCTGCCTTTTTTTCTTTCTTCCTCCTTCACTACCATAAGTCCAACCCTTTTAAATTTAGTTCTCTGGGTCCGCCCCAGTGCGTGCTACCAGATTTCTACATATTTTGGATCGCTGGCTCCTCCGTCATCCTTCTCATTTCCCCCGGGGTAGTTCCGTCCTTTCTTCTCACAGTGATACCCTTCATCCCATTTGCTTTTCTCCGTTGTATCTACTTCTTATATTTCTTCTCCTTCTCTTCCTCTTCCCCCTTATTTCTTGTTTTCGTTATTAGGTGTCTCTTCCATCTTTCCCTCAGCCACCATTCGTCCCGTCTGTTTCCCTGTACGCACCTTTCTACACTGTCACTGTCTATACCTCCACATACATGCCATTGATCCCGTCTACATATGCACATACCTGCGCATTTTGAGTACGCCTGCTGACCTGCCGAAAAGCCGCAAATCAATTCACCCCATCTGCCATTGTTCTTGGGGCATCTCCATACAGCATTGAAGCTGTCCATCAACGACAATGGCTTCCACTACAACGGGACAGGAAGACCTCCATCATGAGAAGGAAGTCCCCGCCGTCACTTCAGATCCAGAGGCCGGTCAGGAAACCCAGCTCACTGGGAAACCCTGGATGTACAAGCCAATCAAGATCGGTCCCTGGTCGTTGCCGTACTTTGCCTCCCCACAATCCCAGCTTCTGCTGGTCTCCTTCGTGTGTTTCCTCTGCCCGGGCATGTTCAATGCAGTCAGCGGTTTGGGCGGAGGTGGTCAGGTGGACCCTACCGATGTCAGCGATTCCAACACCGCTCTGTACAGCACCTTCGCAGTAGTTGGTTTCTTCGCCGGGTCCATCGCAAACCGCATTGGTCTCCGCCTGACTCTCTCTCTTGGTGGCTTTGGCTACTTCCTCTATGTGGCTTCCCTTCTGTCGTACAACCATAACAAGAACTCCGGCTTCCTGATATTTGCGGGCGCGCTTCTAGGTGTCTGCGGTGGTCTGCTGTGGTGTGCGCAGGGTGCGGTCATGATGAGTTACCCGAACGAAAAGGAGAAGGGTAAATTCATTGCTATTTTCTGGGTGATTTTCAACCTGGGTGGTGTGATTGGCAGCTTGGTGAGTCCTTTGGTGGTTTACTCCAAATGGTAGTACTTTTCTGACCCTAGTATACAGGTACCTTTGGGTCAAAACCTGCACTCTGAAGCTGGTCAGGTGAATGATGGCACCTACATCGCCTTCATGGTGCTCATGGCGCTTGGCTTTGTCCTTGCCTGGGCCCTCTTAGACTCGAAGTATGTTAAGCGCAAGGATGGCTCGCATGTCATTGTGATGAAGAACCCCACGTGGAAGTCCGAATTGAAAGGTCTCTACGACACCATTCGGACCGACTACTACATCATCCTGTTCTTTCCTATGTTCTTGGGGAGCAACTGGTTTACTGCCTATCAATTCAACAGTGTCAATGGTGCTTTTTTCACCATCCGGACGCGGGCCCTCAACAATCTCCTCTACTGGCTTATGCAAATGATTGGCGCATTTGTATTCGGCCAGATCCTCGACTTGAAGTTCCTTACCCGCCCAGTCCGAGCCAAGCTTGGTCTTGGACTCCTTTTTGCCCTCACAATGGGCGTTTGGGGCGGTGGTTATGCCTTCCAGAAGACATACACCCGGAAGGATGTCGAGGCAAATACCGACTGGACGACCAGCGGCTATGTTGGACCCATGTTCTTGTACATGTTTTATGGTTTCTATGACGCTGCCTTCCAGACCTGTGCATATTGGTTAGTGCCGCTGTTGTCTCTTATCTTTGGCGGCTGCGCTTATTGTATGCATTTTACTGACTGATACGGGTTGTGTAGGTTCATGGGTTCACTGACTAACAACGCTCGAAAGTTGGCCAACTTCGCCGGCTTCTACAAAGGCATTCAGTCTGCTGGTGCAGCTGGCATGTGGCGGTGAGTCCTAGAAGCCCCCTCGCTCATGAATTTAGGCGTAGAAGCTAATGAATATACTTTGCTGCAGTATGGATGCCGTGGGAACCCCTTACATGACGGAATTCGCCTCCTGCTGGGGCCTGCTCGCCGGCAGTCTTGTCATCGCGTCGCCCGTAGTGTTCTTGAAGATCAAGGAGCATACCGACGTCGAAGCGGACCTCAACTTTTCGGATGAGACCGCTCAAGAAGTGGGTGTTCCGCTGGAAGAACATCCTTCCGAGAAGAAGCAGGAGCCGGAGTTGGCTATCGTGAAATGATGACTAAGCTTTCTAATATATACACGCATTCCATTTCAGCGGAAGGAGGTTGCTGGAGTTCCATGATGGCCAGGCATTAGCCTCTGTCTTTTTGGTGGTTGGTTATGTTTTATTTTTCCTTTCTGTTATTTCGCTGGATATCCATGATCAGATTGGGTTTTGGAGCGTATCACGACATCTAGCTGAGGCACAATTACGTTAGCCACAGCAAGTTACGAACTACCGTAATGGACTTAATATGACATGACTCTTTATGGTCGCTGCAAAGTGTTGCAAGAACACCTGATAAGTTGTAGGACGACGTCGTGGTAGGATAAATCATCTTGAAGGCAAACATGACTAAGAAAGCTTGCGTGCCACTCTTTTAGGTTAAGGACAAGTATCGGAACAAATAACACAACATTAGCCATGCCAAAGAAGGAGATTTCCCCGCAATCCTAGTCGACGGTGGTACTTGAGGCTGTGGACAGTGGTACGAACGACTGCGTGTGTGTAGCCTGCGCAGTGCCGTTGGTGGTATAGTCGGGCCAAATCTGAGTTGTACCCGCTGCAATATCCCATCCAAATAAAGTACGGTTGAACAGCTGCAACGCTGCGATCGGTTGATAGTATGGGACCTCATGCCCGGCTTGATATACGCGGGTGAAAGAAAAGTTGCCATACTCGCGCGTCTCCCCGTATTCAACCCCATCTACCGTCATGGGCGTGTAACCCGCTGCACGGAACTGAGATGCATGGGTGTAGTTCACTGCGAGTGAGATGGCCTGACCACCGAACCAGTTACAGATATAGTCAGCATCGCCGTAAATCAAAGACACGCGTACGGGGAGTCGGAGGATCTCTTCGAGGTCCTCGATGAAATTCGGCCATACAAAGTCGCCGGTCTGCTGGAATGCGTAATATACGTCGCTGCTGGACTCGGTGTAGTTGATGTCCACGCCAATAGCATCCATGACTGAGTCTTTATTGAGGTAGTCAACGAAGTAGGACGGCGGGGTCGGGTCCTACGTAGACATATTAGCTGTGTCCCTGTTCGGAAAGTGCAACCCTTATCCTTATCACTTACATTGTAGGGGTGGCGAATATCATACACGCCACGGCCGCCAAACTGGTAATAAGGCCCTTCTGTACAACAGCTTAGCGAAGCTCTTCATCAATACATCCCTGCAGGGGAATTGCAAAAAAAACCACTCACCAACATTGTCCCTGCACATGTTGGCTGCTTCTGTACATATAGCATAATCAGCTAGCGAGGTTCTATTGGTCAGTTTACACAAAGAAACCTGATCCTGGCATCCATTGGGCATCGTGTTGGCGAACTTCATATAGTTGTACACTGTGTCATTGAGCTAGCAAGTATGAGCAAGAGTGATATAAAATCCACGAGGTGCGGATAACAAACTTACAGCTTTAATTCCATATGTATTGTTGACAGCAAATTCCGGGTAGTAGTTTGCCTATTCATTGTTTTAGCAATGTTTCTTACGTCAAAGCCTCTGCGCGAGCTGCATTTCTACACACCTGAATGGCGGCATCAATGATGCCATTGATAATCCCGAGAGAGTTGAAATTGAGTTGGACTCCACTCACTTCCCCGTTAGCAATCTTCGAGTTTTGCTCGTAGAAATGATTGAAGAACTTCGGTCATCAGCTTCATATATGTGCATCCAGAGAAGAAAACCTACAGCTGGTCCATAGTGTCTTGATCAAGTCAGCATACGTCAATCTGATCTGAAAGCTGCACTCACCCTCCGTAGCTCTCCGTCCAGAGATTGAACTCCTTGGACTTGACTTCAGAATCCAGCTGTGACAAGCCGCCGAGGAAGCCTTGAAGTACCTCCCAGGTTGCGCGTGCAGCGATATCGGTCGTGTCTGTAAAGTAGGAACATGAGGAGAATGCTAACTGAGAGTCATACCAGACAACTAACCGATGATTGTGGCATCAATAACTGGATATCGACCCTGGACTCCAGCAAACGAGACGTTCTCGGTGACTCCAGTAATTGGGTTCAAGGACCCGGCCTCGGTTTCACTGTAAGAGAACCCTTCGCAGATAAGATCGTAAGCAATGTACTCAGGATGTATCAAGGCAGCAGGATTTCATACCTACGCCGAGGGGCTGGGACAGGAAAAGGAGATTGGTGACTTCGTTCCAGGAGTACTGGTTGATGATTGATTCGTACTCTGGGGTGATGTGACACGGACCCAACTCTGTTGTGAAAGCGTCAGAATATTCAAGCTTTTTGTCCTTTCCGCCTCGATATTTGGCCAACCTTCGAAAAGCCCAATCAAGGAGTCGCTTCCAGGGCCACCATTCAGCCACAAAGTCACTGGATCATTCTCGGGATCACGACGTGACTCAAAAAACCAAAAAAAGGTATGTGATTCTGGCGAAAGATCGACATATCCGGAGTATGATTTGACTCCAGGCGTCGTTTCACAAACGCCTTCGGTTCCTGGTTCTTTATACCTGATGGTGACATTGTTCGGAGTTTTTATCGATTTGACGCCAGTGGGTGCTTTTGGTAATTGCCTTCTCATCGTGGAGGACCATTTATTCTCGGGCGTAGCACAACTGAGTGCAGCCAGGGCCAATAAGAGCACCAACTGAGAGCCGCGCATGGTGTTGTTAATGTAAGGACAGACTCAGTCACAGCTATACCTAGTTGAATATCTTCGAAGATTGATTCTATACATGCACCGCAAGCCACTAGAGGAGTCCTTCAAGGAGAAGGGTCAGCAAAAGACCGATGGGTGGGGGATGCCATCCCCAGCCAGGGCTTTATATACTACATCGTTGCATGAGCGACAAAGTTTGAGAGAAAAGGCGCAGGCCCACATGGTGTGAGGGGAGAATAATTCATATCCAGTGGATAGAAGATACATGCTGGCGGCAATTATCAATGCCGTGCAGCTTGCAGAAGACAAACACTATTGTGTGGAAACGAGGTTGTATCCCGCCGCCGTTTCCGGCCTGATCGGTGAGGCGTCAGTTAAGCAGCTCAGCATCTCCTCCAATAACCGAGGCGGAAAGGAATTACTGGGTAGGAAGAGGAGGGGTGGATGGAGCAGCCGAACCCTGCATGAGAAACCCCGTGGTCAATTCGCCAATAATAGTGATAACACGCTGTCTCGCTAGTGCTGTACCTTGGTACTTAGTGTCTTGGTTTGGATTCCGTGCCTCACAGGACCTAGTTCGAATTGGCACTGTAACAGTTGACTGATCGAACCCGTGCCCGGAATGAAAGGCTATTAAGACAGGATTGTGACTCAGTCAATGTGGTATCGGGGGCCCAATTTCCTTGGCGGGACAGGTATTGGATGATAGTGGAGAGCTATTTGTTGGTTACACAATGGCAGACGCTGTGGCTGTGAGTAAGATGATGCAGGGACCGGGATTGAACCGGTTGAATCAAGTGCCCGGTGCGGGGGAAGAGGCCAAGAGAAAAGAAGATGGAAGAGAGTAGTAAATGAATGGATGATGGAGGGAGAGACAGACAGACAGACGGGAAGTGCCTGAGGTGAGCCAAACCACCTGCCTGATCGGGACTGGTATGCACGGGACCTTCTCCTCTCTAGACCACCCTACCAACTTCACATGAGCACATCTTGAGTCTCCACTTGGGACAGCAGACTAACAGACTGGATACCTGGATGGTATACAGATCAGTGGTATTATAGGGTCTGTTCAAGATGCTGCAACTGAGCAGATTTTGAAGGTACTATGAGGGCGGCTTGTACCACAACGTCCTATCAACAGCACCCTGAGAAGCGTCACCCTTGTTTGATCCCATGTGCAAGTGTCTTTTCTTTCATCCTAGCTGATAATCCTCTCCAAATGCTGTCAGCTTTCACACTGTATGGAAGAGAAACATGAACCGACCGTATCGACTCAACAACTGCCACACAGAATTGACGGTAACAAGGAGATCCCTCCCAAGCGGTCAATGGGTGGAGTTCACTGCAAGGGTGATCGAGCAGCAGCGCAGACATACCTGAAGAATGCCCGGCAAGGGTGGTCTACAAGAAGTCGAGATCCTTTTCGGTTCATCGATCTACCTGCTCCCTTATTGACAATTGGCCGGTTGCCAGCCAAACAGAGTTCAAGCAACACACATACACTAGTTCATCTCTCCGACGAAGCTAAGTTTACTATAATCCGAGTAGCATGCGTTAGGTCATTCATTTTCTCATGTCGTACTTTTCGACTCTGTATGTACAAATAATGGGAACAATTGCCCCGTGCAGGGGGACAAATCAGGCACATGAAGTACATAAGAAATAAGCATCAACCGATCCAAGGTTCGCAGGATTTTGAACCCGGTACATAAAAGCCCGCGAACGCCAAGCGCCCATCTCCCTTTGATGCACACATATGTTGTAAAACGGGCCTATTTCAACAAACGGCCAAACAAGATCGCCAAGAGCAGTGCAGAAAGCAAATGAGTTCTAAATCATGGCACAAATATGAAACAACGTCGCAACAGTGTTTCCAAGCCGCTTAAAGACTCAGGCCGAGTTCCGCATCGAGGTCGGCTGCGAAACTGTTCATATCGTTGCGTGATGCCGCAGCGCGATCGTCGGCAAGCTGTCCGTCTCCCAAGCCGGCCAGACCAACGCCTTGTTTCTCAGTATCGAAACCCATGATGTCGGACAGATTGTTCATGGTACCCAAGCCAAAGCCATAGTTCTTCCCATTACCATTCCCGGTATTCAAGCCATCATCGGGGGCAAGGAAGTCCGCACCGGCATCGTCAAAGTTGATCAAGGCATCGAAGTCGTTCTGGGTTACTTCCGCATCATTCGCCAGATCCATGAGCTCACTGATGCTCAGCTCCGAATCGAAGTTGGGAATGGTGAAGGCATCCTGGTGATAACTGGGGTTGATGTTGCTGGTGCTCCCATTCTCGCTACCGTCGGAGGGAGGGGGCGTTGATGCGAACTCAGGACCGCTTTCCTTGGGAAGCTGGCTGGCACGTCTTGCGCCATCGGATTTCGGATACGTCAAGTCAGGGATCTTCTGCGCGAGAGAGTCGGGGGGTGGGGTCAAAGTGTTGACGCGTGCTGAGGTGTCAACTATGCTGTTCGTCCGTGCCTGTACATCTTGCGGCGCTACTGTAAGCTGAATACCGGCCTTGCGAATGGCAGCCTCCAAGAACGACGTAGCGAAGTCTGCCGATGCATAGATTTCTCTCAGACGTTGTAATATGCGCATGCACTGGTAGAACCGGTGAAGGCTGGTCATCCGAACGTTGTGGTCACTAGACTTGATGTCGAGGAGATGAATAATCACAGCGGGAAGTAGGACCGTAACGCCAGTTGTAGGGAAATAGCGGGTCAGGTCTAGGCTGTGTAGATCCTGGGCAATATTTGTAATTTCGATCGCAGCAAACCGCACCTTATTCCTGGAAATCTCCTGTAGTTCGGCGTCCATCGAAGGGAATGGGATCGCAGGTAGGACCTGAGGGCGATGGAGAGCGCTGGATGTGGTCAAATAAACCATCTTCAGGAGTGCACGATGAGAGTGAAGAACTTCCTGCGCCTCATTTAACTTGGAGGGCGCTGCGGGGGCGTAGCGTATCTCTGTCGGAAGGTGGGCCAGCCAGTCTTCCAACTCCTGATCACAACGACGAACCTCGAAGGTCTCCGCTGCTGATTTCTTGGGTACCAACATCATGGTGGTTTCCATCGTTCCACCAAATTTGTGGCTTAGAACCGAATATTGAGCCGACAGAACATGGCTCACACAGAGACAAAGTTTGGCCTTCTCAATGAACATCAAAGCCAGCTCTCTCTGATGGCTCACGCTCTGAAGAATCTCTGAGTTGCCTACCATGCTCACAATTTCCGGCGAGAAGGGATGAAACTCGAAATCGTCAAGAGTCAGCATCGGAACATCACAGTCATCGTCCTTCACGCGCATGGGACGTCTCATTCCCAAGGCGATCAGACGATCACGCGTATATGTGCTCCACCAAATCCGTTTCCACATCCGTTGGCGCCGGACATCCATACGGGAGTTGCCGGGGTCACGATGCAGGCCAATGGTATGTGCGAGGGACAAGCTCACACCCATCCAATGCCAGGTATCCTTCTGGTCATCAGGCGTCTCATACCAGTAGGTCATTAGGAGTAATGATTGGACGAGAGAGATTCGGTCAACTTCGTAGTCGAAATCATAGAGAAGTCGTGCGCGCTGAAAGAAAGCTTTACGAGCTGCCTTTCTGGTGGGGTAGCCGGCCGCGTGGAGATGCTTCAAGTCGATAAAAGCTGTGCCGGCGAACATCACGGCTTGGAATAACAATAGGCTCATACGGCGGATGCCATCGTTTTGAACGATCGTCTGCAGGAAGTCTTCTAGGTCAAGGAGGGGCATATAGGTGTGGACGTAGTGGATGTAGCTTTTCAGCAATTCATTGCGTAGTCCCACGTCGGGGACAGTCAAAGCTCCTTTCATGGACAAATAGTCGATGTCCTCTTTCTGCAGACGTGGCGGCAATCCGCGGATGTAGTCTGGTAGGACAACACCGCCAGACCTGGTATTGGCAAAGGAAGGGTCCAGCAGCTGTTGAATCTGCGAAGTCACATGGTGCAAAGGAAGCGTCGCTGGGACAGCGGGATTCGGGGCCATTCTTCTTCGATAGCGATCCCCGGAGCCAATTCTGTTCGCTTGGCTTTGATCTGTACAAGTACGCATTAGCATCTCATCGAAAATGATACAGTGGAGATTGGGTCATTTGCCACAAGCTCCGAGACCAATCGAGGTGGGATACGAACATAACAGGTGTGGCATATGCTGCCCCTGATCCAGATCTACAGAGCGCTGCGAGGGAGAAGCCGGGGCCATATCGGAAAGGCCATGACACTCGCTAAGTCGCCTGAACAGACTAGCCCCGTCATCGGGGATTTCTGCAGGGGATTGAGACAGCTGATGAGGGTTTGCATTATCGACCTCAACACGTGATTTCCTGAACAGTGGCAACAAGGCGCGCTCGAGGTTAGCCGGCACTTCTGTGGAGGAAAAACGGAAGACATGTATTCGACGTAGACGAACTTTCTCCTCTTGCTCTCAGTGACAATGCACTCTACTTGGTCCAAGCGGCAATTCGTGCAGGGCGAACCATTTTCGACCACATCACACCGCACTTTGCGAGCCCGGCAGCAGCAGCACGCCTTGGATGCCCTCCGTTTTACAGGGCGGGCATTGGCGGGCAGACCGGCAGTGGAGGCTTTCCTCTTGGATTTGGCCTCGGTTTCCACGGTGGATTGAGGGGTGGGGGAAGTTGTTGATACAGCAGTGTTAGTCATTATGCAAAGCGTGAATTCAGTTGAACCAGATCATCCGTGAGTAGGCCAGCCTTTTTGTCGTATCAATGGTGGAAGAGGAATTGTAGAGAAACGGCGAGGAGTAGTATAGCGATAATCAGAGTAGGATAATCAATGCGACTTTCTTGGTAGATAAAGAGGATTATAGGTAATAGGACAAAGATGGCGAGGGTAGGAGTAAGGAGTAAGTAAGAGTTAGAACAAGAGAAAGGTGGAGGAAGAGGTGTGTAGTAGGAAAAGGAAATCCAGAACGTGACCCAACAGAGGTAAAAAGTAACAAGAGTGGAGAGGGTTCCTTTTGATTTTTATGTTCCTTTTTTTCCTTTTCTGTTTTTCTTTTTTTAATTTATTTAAAATAAATCCATACAGGAATTAAGTTAGAGAATCACTTTCCGCCGGAAGGGGGAGAGAGAGAGAGAAAGAGAAAAAAGGAATCACAGGACCACGTTCCAATCTTTTCGTCCAAAGGGACGAAAATCGAGACATGACCTGGGGCCGGGAAGGAGAATGTTTAAGTACGATTGAACTAGTGTCAGTAGCAGCAGCAAATGTCGCAAGTGCCTTTTCCAACCGTCAGTCAAAAAACCAGTCAGTCAGGAGGCGTTGGCGTTGGGGATGATGAGCCCCAGATCCACTCGCCATGGTCGCCTCCCCCAGACCAGAACCGTGGAATTCCGCCTAGAAAGTGGAAACCCAATGGCGGACGGTGTGCTCCGTACTAGACTTTGAGACTAGGGGAAAGGAAAAAAGAGGACCTGACCCGGGTTAATCATCATCATCATCATCATCATCCTCATCCTCATCATCGGGGTTGTCATCGTCGTCGTCAAACCACGCCGGGGGATTTTAGTTGAGTAGTGAAAAAGGCTCTTGCTACCTATCGTGGACTAGACTATATTCACTAGTCACGCTGGCCAGAAAAGAAGGCCGGCGCTAGTGCGGGTCTGTATTTACCTCAGACCGCATCGACTAGTCCCTTTTTGGGGGGAGTTGGAGGTTTGGGAAAAAAGGAAAAGCGGGTTTTCCAGTCGGAGTGGTGGGGGAAAGGAAATAATAATCAGAATTTAATAATAATAATACCTATGAAAAAGACACAATCAGATTACGGATGCCTTTTTGAGCCAGTCGTTGCGCATTGCTTACTGTACAAAACACCCCCACTGGAGACGCCAACGACCATTCAGAAATCCATGACTGTTTGTTAAGATCCACCACAAAACGCAGGACCCCCTCCTCCTCCGACCATAACAAGTTTAGTGAAGTACTTACTAAGTATTTAGTGGTTTCCACCCAGTTCCTCAGCTTCCGTTCCACAGCCGGTTTCTTTCTCAGTGTGTAAACTACGTACAGTAGGGAAGTAGTCTACCCATTTCAGTCAAGTGAACCAACTCCCGTCCCCTTACTCCGTATTTTCCGTCCTTTTAGCCCGTCCCCCCTCCCTCTCTTCCTCCTCTTCCCCACCACTACAAAGGAGTAGCAACGGACCCAGAAGAAGGCGATGGCAGTTTTCCATACCCGATTGAGGGGGTGGTCTCCATCGGCCCGGTCACGTTACTGGCCCTGTCCGCCACAACCAGTCATCGGCAGCTTGGCCACCACCGGAGGGGACCGGGAGCAAATTCAAGATCCTGCCATTGGTCTGAACTAAACGTGCTATCTCCAATCCCCATGAGACAAGACACAAGACTCTGGAAACCTTTCCCCATCGGGTGTTTACAGTGGGAAACTTTTATTTGGTAGAATATTCCTTCGCGACTACTTTTGACCCTGGGACATCCTCAAAACTGTCATGGCGCTATTCTTCCGTGCAGGGATGCAGCCACGGGGCGGTATACATACGGAGTAGTGCGGTGACTTTTCCGGAGTCAGTTAGTTAACTAACACACACACACACACACCAAGGGAGGATGCGTCATATTTGGTGTCGGAAAAGATTCCGGCTCTTGTGACTTCTTTTTGCTTGCATGCACTCGCAACTCTGGACTGGAGATACACGGCGTCTCAGAAACTCGGGTCTGCTTCCGTCGGCTTCCCTTCCATTGCCCCCTTTTACGTCAGTCAGTCAGTCAGTCAGGTAGGCTCGAAAATAGTGATTATTACCAGAATGTAAATCATTCGGCTCTTTGTCTCTAATAAGATTTTCTCTCCCGCTGGATCCGTATTGCAAAGCGTAAGTCTACTACTGTGTTCTTTGATCGGGGATCGGCCCCTGCGGTACGGAGTACACATCACGATCTCCCTTTTGCTGAACAGCCGAGTATGGGTCAGCCAGCCAGATACCACGGAACCGAGGCCCGTAAGCGCTCCGTTTAGATTATCCCGTATGCTCTCTAGTAATATACTGTGCGCGTATGGTGATCTCGGACTAGGGTGGATTTCTCTGCGCTATCGGAGCCTACCTCGATGATCGTTATGATAAGACACACACACATGCACAGCGGTCCTCTTTACTCGCGAATTCATTTTGTTGATGAAGTGTCGTCTCCTTGGTTGGATCGCGCTGAGGAAAACCATCTACGTATGAGTCAGTAGATAGCCATTGTCACAACACAGCTATCCGTTGTGTAGAATGACTTGGAAAGAGTGCAGCCTGCAGCTTGTTTACACTCGGTATTCCGATGACCATCCAGTACGGACGGTGCATATGTCATGCGGTCTCGAAGCCGAAGGCAGAGAGGACTAAGTCTTGAAGTTGGTGGAGAGGGAGTGGACTTATGACGATCATGCACATATCGTTTCCCCCTGTTGAAATCCTTACTAAGTTACATTGTAGTACAGCAGGGCCTCTTTGGGGGAAAGGAAGCCAACTAACAAGGTATCATTGCCAATGCATCAGGAATTAATAATGGACCAGGTGGTTGTCGCTGGCCTACAGCATCCAGACCCGGGAGAGACTAAGCCCAGTTGCCAGGCGCTATGCAGCATGAGGGATAGGAGCAGGGCAGGCCCGCCCGCCAGCTGCCCAATGTAGGATCGCAGCCGATCCCGCATGCCGATGGAGGGGCGAATCGTTGGGCCGGACCAAACCTGGGACGACACTGGGAGTTGGGAACGGTATCCTGCGGTTTAGTTCATTCGGGGGATTAATTATTTGGACAGAATTCAATAAATGCGGTCACTGTTTGGGAGACCCACTGAAACTAGGAACTGGAGAAAAGCGGGAGTCCTTGGATTCGGCTCGCCCGCCGCATCGAGACCTAGTGATACTCTCCGGATGAGTCGTTCAGATCCTTACAATGTTCCTCCTTACGCATTGAAAGAATATCATTATTGAAGAAAAAGCCTCAGAAATTGTAGCATCAGAATTGTAGGTAAACGTCATCAATAGGAGCAAACCGACGTTTACTTCTGGGTGTAGGTAGCGTTGAATGGGTCGTGAAATGGTGCTGGTCACAGACTGGGGCAAAATATCGCGCGGGTGGATCGGCCCCAAATTCTTGATGCTGCTGGCGCTGCTGCTACACACACACACACACACACACACACACACACATTGTGCATGCGAGTTGTCAGTCAAAATTCATAGAAGCAGCAAAAGAAATCATCGCAGCAATGGGGTGCAAAGCACACCTTGCTCTAGACCTGGCCACTAGGCTTTACGGATGAATAATATTAATCATCATCCAAACCCTGCGTGAATTATTACCCCTGCAATGTGATCTCCCCGAATCATATTCATGGAAGGAGTATGAACAACAAGCTCATCCACGTGATAGAGGGTCCGATGTCACGCTTAATAGTGCCGACAACCGGAGGAGACAAACCCTCTCGCAAGGTTACAAAGAATGTTCTGTTGGCGCTGTCCAATAATTCCGTCGGAAATTGCGAGCCGTAACGGCCCAGAATCTGAGCGGGTGACTTGTGAGCTCGCTCCCCCAGACGGGAACATAGTATTATCTAGCTGGCGCCCGAGTGGAGTATTGGAGGGACCAGCAGGCTACTGTGTAGTAGTGTGTACGTATTGCTAAAGGCTAATTGTGGCTTGAGAAGAGGTCGCGGGAGCAGCGAGAATCGGAGGAAAGAGCTCGGTACCCCACAAGTAGAGAGAGAAAGGATGGCGCACTGGGGTAGAACCAGGCATCTATGGTGAGCTTAGAGCCTTCCGGTTCCCTCCAGGTGGATAGACCAGATAGCTCTCTTTCTGTTTCATGTACAGTGTCGTAATGAAGGGTGGCATGGAAGGGCGGTTCCTTGCTGTCAATGTGTGCCATCACAACATGCTGCATGCCGCTACTGTGGGAAAAGCCCTACACCTATATGTGATTGGATCAGCTTGTTGTAGTCAATCAGTTCATGCCTCAATTCCTGATAAAGAGTGAGTAAGGCACAGCACTATAACGACTTAGTTATCTTAGACACCTTCCTATTTTAAAAGTGCTAGCCGTTATAGTTTGTCCATTTTCACATGAATATTGTGTGCTCACCCTTTGCCTCGCAAGCAGTACTACTAGAAGGTAAAACAACGAGATTTCCATGCCGTAATTAGAGATTGGTTGACTGGACCACGATGAAAATACGGGGGACCCAGCAGTGGCTTAGTTCTTAGTAGTATAGGTACTAAGTATACAGTTAGTAGTAGTAATTCGTGGGGGAAAAACGAACCAACGCCCAAGCGATGGTGATTGGTCCGTGTGGATAATCTCCGACCATCACGAGGGATTTCCCCCACACCAATCAGTGACATTTGAGCGGATTCCCATGTGGGACTCCCACAGCTGACTAACCGTCGGCTGGAGGACGATTGGCCACCAATCATAAATCGCGTAATGCTCCCCGAATTGGACACAGAAACGTGGAGTTGCTCCAGATCGGGGAAAGACCGGGATTTTCTCGTCTCTCCCTGGACGGTGCAATGGAGCTGTGACGGTGCCGGTCGTTTTACCTGAAGTCGGTAGCCTTAGCTTTTTCGTGTCTGGGGCAAGTTACGTATCATCCCCAGTCATCAGCTGCCATTAATAGTAAGGGCCATGGAATTGGGATTG